ATGGCGTGGCAGAGGAGTTCGACAGGTCCTCAAAAAGTTAAACACAGACTTATACGATCTAGCAATTCCGCTGCTGAGGATGTACTCGGAAGAGCTGAAAACGGGTCTTCAAATAAAGAACACGAAGATTCCCGGCGGTGCTATTCACAATAACCAGTAAAAGGTACTAACAACCCAAATGTCCATCAACTGATGAACAGAAGACGACGTGGTTTAGTCACACAATGGACTCTCAGTAGGCCATAAAAAGGAGTGAAGTACTTACTACCTGTCACAACGTGGAAGAACCCTGAAAATGTTACGCTAAGGGAAAGAAGCCAGTCACAAAATACCACATGTTGTACGATTCCCATGAACCTTCCAGAATAGGCAAGTCCATTAAGACAGAAAGCAAATTTGTGGTTGCCAGGGCGCTGGGGGTGGGGGGAGTAGGGTTGAGTAAGGGAAGACCACTTAGCGGGTATGGGATTTCCTTCTGGGGAGATAAAGATGCCTCTGAACTAAATAAAGGTCATGGCTGCTGAACACTGCAAAGGTCCTAAGCGCCGCTTAATTGTAGACTTCAAAATGGTGAATGGTTAATTTTATGACAGGTGGATTGCGCTTCCAAAACAAACAAACAAACGAGTTCCTAGAAAAAGGAAAGACAAAAAAATTCAAGCCCCCAGTTTCAAGTGAGACTCAACAGACGTAAAATCGCTGTGTCAAACTAAGTTTTTGTTTGCTTTTAGGTCCTTTGCTCACCTCTCCCTACACCAGTAACTCAGCACTCACAGCCGCCCCCCCGCCCCCCGGATCCCGTCTGGTCTTGCTGACTCAACACCCTGCCACGGAACCTGCTGGCGGTGGCCCTGCCCCACACACCCCGTACCAGCAAACTTCCCTCCACGAGATCACTCCCGTCAGCACACAAACCCGTCTCCTTTCTTCGAAAAAGACAGAAAGATCTTCCTTGAACTCCGCTCCCCTCCCGCGGCTAGCCCACGTCACTTCTGCCCTCCCAGCAGAACTCCCTGAAGACCTGTCTGTGCCCAGCCTGGGGGGCCCCCAACCTTCTCTCCCACGCAATCCCGAATGCAGCCCGGCTTTGGTTCCCACCTCCAACCCCACTGGCCTCGGTCCCCCATCATTTCTACCTCCCAACAGCCAATGGTCGATCCCAGCCCTCATCTGACCCACCAACTTCCGTGGCTCTGCTCAATGCACCATTGTCTTCGCATGGCTTCCAAGATAGCAATCCCCGAGAGCTCTCCCCCCACCCCACGGGCTGCTCCTGTCACGATCTCCTTCACTGGTCCTCTTCATGTGCGACGCACCTGCGGAGACTGGAGGGCCCTGGGGCTCCAACTTCCATCATTCGTTCTGCTCTGTCTACACTCGCTTCCCTGGGGGCTTTCATCACACTGGCTTCAAGGAACACTGAGGCACGGAACTCGCAGGTTTCTTTTTTGGTAAGTTTTTTTTTTAATGTTTATTTACTTTTTCAGAGAGAGAGAGAGAGAGAGAGAGAGG